GGCAGGCGGGAATCGAACTCATGCGGAAGTGGCTTCAGATTCTCAGTGCTGCGCTTTAACCCGCTGCGCCACCAGGGAGGGCCATGTGTTTTTTTTTAAATGGCACAGCAAAAGGGAATACAATTCTACTACTGCACACCTCAAGAAGCAGCACACTGATAAATCCCTTCATTAGAAAGGTTATCTTGGGTCTTCTGGTGGTGTAAGAGTTAAGTCCAAGTGCTATCACAGCTGTGACCTGAGTTTCATCCCCGACCAGGGAACTGACCCACATGGTGCAGCAGACCTCTCCTGTCTAGCCCGCTGCTCCCCTCAGCAGTTTACTTCATTAGATCCACCTATCTTTCTCCCCACTCTCCTAGTGAATCCTCTCATATCCCTCCCCCCTGACCCTCACCCTACACATCTGGCCTACAGTCCAGTTCTATACATAAATAAATAAAACTTAAAAAAAAATTAGGAAGGTTATCTTTTCTCTCACTGATACCACAGGCTAAACTATATATCATCTCATCAAATAACAGTTGAGGCAATAGAATAAGTTTAAGGGCAGCACATTGACTCCCACTTAATACAAGTAATGATATAGACCAACACCTGGTCACAAATTAAGTTCTTTGCCAGTTAAATACAGTTTTAACTTTCAGAGTTTTAACAATTAAGGGTCATACACTGAAATATATATAAATATATATAACTAGAGCTTTTCAGTCTGAGCTAGTTCATGCACACAGCTGAAATAAATGGCAAAGTACGGTCTAACAAATGCTAGAGGCAATTTTTTAGAAGTAGTTTATACAGTTCTTAAACTTCACCTTTCATGCTGAAGTCATTGTACATAGAGGGCAACATTGGAGCTTTTATATTTGAGTTTATTCTTCAGTTAACTTGAAAACACTTCCATGGTTGAATATTAAAGCAAAAATAATTACAAGTCATGAGCATATTGATTATAGTCCTTCATTCATTCACTGCTGCGTACTCATTTATTGCTGTTGATGGGCATTCATTAATGAAGGAAAAAGTCTTTTTTTTTCTCACAGTGCAATTTTAAAATTTTACCTTCTTAATTCTTTGGGAATTTTCATTTTGAGGTAGAAAAATCTGACTTTTCTTTTATGGTTTCTTTGCAGCTTTAGACTCAGAAAGCTCTTCTCGACTTCTTGGATCAGGTCACCATTCCTCTGTGTGTAAAAGGCAGCAGTGAATGTCACTCAGTGACCCATGAAGAGGTCTGTCCCTGAATACTGTCCTAGGATGACCTTTGTTCGTGTAAGCTTCTCTATAAAAAGGGCATCACCTTTCTGGTTTAGATAAAAATCCACAGATCTACCTGGTCCATTGCATCAATCTCCTCTATTTCCTTCCTCTCAGGTAGGAGTCTTCCCAGCTAAAAGATTGCATCATCCCAGCTAAAAGAAGGTTGTTCTCAGGAAAGTTTACCTTCAATTCATTGATTAGGTAAGCTTTTCATTTGGTCTGTGATAAATTGGTGTGCCTTCATTTAGCATATGATTTATACCTCTGTGCTTGCCAATCTGACCTGGATGAGAGGTGAGTGCTCTAGTTTGGATGTCAAGAGTAGATATTGGCTTTTGAAAGTCACATATTGCTTCGACCAGTTGTATGTCCTTACCCATGGAAAGGTCTGCTCCTTGCTTTGTGAAAAGAACATGAGCCACCTGATCTAAAACAATTGTAGTATCTACTGGCTCCACCCTGGTTCTTGTCTCCTTCATCATGAAATGTTATTTCCTGGCCATCTTTTATGCCTTTGTTGATATGAACTTCTAGAACCTACTCTCTCATACTATCTTCCTTTCCATTGCAGCTTTTAAAATCTGTCTTTAGAACTGATCTGTTCCTCCTGGCCCTGACATTCCATGCACAGAGACTAAATTTGCTGAACCATTTCAAGCCCTGTCTGCTGCATTGTACTGCCTTGGCCATTGGAACTGCCCCTTTCTCAGCACCTAGATCTTTACATTTGTCACAAATCATATTCTTTCCCAGAGCTTGCTTTCTTGTACCATTTTACAAGTCTTCTAAGGTTATTGAAAGTTGATGGACAAACTTTTTACCTCTTTTTTCTCTTTATACCCTTCCTGTTCTGCCAAAAACACATCAAACATGTCCATAGGGAGCTAAAACCAAAACTTATTCCACTTTCTTTAATGACTTGTTCTCTGCTCTTGTCACATAAATACTTTTTTTTTTAAGCGATTTATTTATTTATTCATAGAGAACTAGGGTACAAGCCAGAGGTGCAGGGGTGGGTGAGAGGCTTCACCAGAGACAGAGTGGGGGAGCAGAACAGGAGCTGTGGGTGGGTCAAGAGAGGTCTGCCAGCCATGTGGGTCATCTCTAGGGTGGGGGATTGAACTCTGAGGCGGCTGCTGCCAGCTTACAGTGCTGTGTCCTAACCTGTTGTACCACTAGGGAGGGCCTCAAATACTTTCTAAAACAATTTTTAATTTTTATTTTTTTAAGGTATTTTATTAAGGAAGAACTACTCCTCCCCCCCATCTTTGTTAATAGTTTGATAGTGTAAGATTTCTCCCATCAGGTGTGGCTGTTGAATCTCTCCCACCACCAAAGTACCCCAAGGGTATATTTTAGCATGTGGTGCAGGAGAGTAGGTTCAAATCTGTTTTTTCTTCAGATAGCTGACACCTGGAATATCACCTCTTGATCCTTGACATACCAATTTGATATTCCTTTGCTTTGCATTGGAGAGTGCTTCATAAACTTGAGAAACCTGTTTAAACTTCTTTCCATTTGGATTCTTATCGGAGTGGTACTTCAGGGCCAGCTTCCTATAAACCGTTTTCAGATCTTCCTGGGAAATAATGGGTATGACCCCAAAATGTCATAGTAAGTGGTTTCTTTCATCAGTTTCTACAGTCAGTTCCTCCACCTTGCCCATCCCAATTAGCCAAATTATATATAGATAATAATAATTATATATATTATACATACTATATTTTATAATATATAAATACTAATTTATATATAAATTATTTATCTACTTAAGTATGCAAGAGCTAATGTGTAGGCCAGAGGTGTGGGAGTAGGGCTATATGAGAAAATTCACCAGAGAGAGTGGGGAGCAGAACAGGCAGATCTACTGAAATACACTGCTGATGGGAAGCAGTGGGCGAGACAGGAGAGGTCTGCTGTCAACTCCCTGGGCAGGGGATCAAACTCATGCTATAGTGGCTACCAATAACTTCACAGTGCTGAGACTTAACCCCTTTTGCCACTAGGGAGCCCCCCCCCCCGCCAAATAATATATTTTTAAAGTTGTATTTGTTTGAAAGCCTACTCTGTAAATGTTACTAATATTCATCCCAGCAAATTGAAATGGTGTAGTTCAGGAGTTCCATTTTACTGGAACACAGAGTAGATAGTGCAACTTGGCTTTGAACCCAGAATTCATGCATGACCCCAAGACCTCCTGTCTTCCCTTTATGCTGCCTACGTTTCAGATAAATTATTATTGAATAGAATTGAATGGCAGGAAAAAAAAATTTAACTTCATGGGAAATGTGACTTTTTCTAAACAATACCTTGTCAGGCAACATTCCTTAAACTCATACAATGCTAGGGTTAGTGGAAAATCATCTGTATCTTTGTGAGTAGTTGAAAGTGCCACAGAAGGTCCTAGTTCTAACACTAAATTGCTAAGTAGTTTAAACAAGTTTAAGCTGCTCCAAGCCTTCTCTGTTACATGGGAAGAATAAAATTGGTAGTACAGGGAGGTTAGGTATCTTTTTTTTTTTAAAAGATTTATTTATTTATTCGTACAGAACTGGGGTACAAGTCAGAGATGCAGAGGGTGAGAGGGTTCACCAGAGACAGAGTGGGGTACAGAACAGGCAGATCGATGAAGTACACTGCTGAGGGGAGCAGCGGCCTCGCCATGTGGATCTCCTCCGGGGCAGGCGGGAATCGAACTCATGCGTAAGTAGTTTAAGCTTCTTTGTGCTGTGCTTTAACCTGCTGCGCCACCAGGGAGGGCCACGGTTAGGTATCTTATCTTACCTGGTGAAGTTGTTACAGTTTGGTGGTGGGCATGGTGTGGTAATATCTGGGTCTGTCTGGTGGCACAGCACTTTGAAGCTATACACAGCCACTGAGCATGGGTTCGATCCCTGGCCAGGGAGCTGACCCACATGGCACAGCAGACCTCTTCTGTCTTGCCTGCTGCTCCCCTTCACAATGTATTTCAGTACATCTGCCTGTTCTGTTCCTTACTCTGTCTCTAGTTAGGTCACCCCCTCCTCACTTCTGGCCTGTACCCCAGTTCTCGTATACATAAAAAATAATCTTAAAAACTCCCACATATACAGTGTTGTAAATCAGCATTGTCTCAATAAAAAAAAAAAATTTAATTAAAAAAAGTATTTTATCTAAGGTTACACAATAGTAACCGGCAGAGTAAAGACTCAGACCCTAAGATCATTGAACAGAATCACATGTTCAGAACTGGGTAGTTTACAAGGTTGCTGCAAGATCAAGTATATTTTGGATGTAAGCAAGATTTGAAAAGGATTCACTGGACAAGTGGATGACTGGAGATAAAAGTTAAAGTTATAAGCCTGTTTTTTATGCAAGAAGTGTGAAAATGAAAGCTTTTTAAAAAATAAATCTCAGTTTTCTGGATGTCTGCTTCTCAAAGTAGCATCTAGTTTTAAATTTCTTAAAAAAAAAGATTTATGGGCCCTCCCTGGTGGCGCAGTGGGTTAAA